GCCCTGGAGCCTCCCTATCACCCCTCACGCCCTCGGCCACCAGCTCTCCGCCCGGCACCACCTTGGGCCTCTCCACGGCCGCCTCCAGGGCCACGGCCACCCATACCTTGCCAGCAGTGACAGTGACCACAGCGTCCACATCTGTCCTCAGCACCCCGGGGACCCCTGTGTCCCCCAGCTGGAACTTCACCACCCCCTGCCTCTGCCGGGTGTTTGGGCAGCTCTTCTCACCTGGTGAGTGGAGGAGCCCGTCATTCCCTGCCCACTGTCCACCCCGCGCACTGTGCCTCCCGACCTCTCCGGAGCTGACCCTGCCGTGTCTGTCTTGGTGATTCTCTCCTCACAGGGGACGTTGTCTACAATAAGACAGACGGTGCGGGCTGCTCCTTCTATGCCATCTGCAACCAGCACTGCGACATTGACCGCTTCCAGGACACCTGCCCCACCTCTTCGCCCCCCGAGTCCTCTTCGGCCCCCACGGCCTCGTCTTCCCAGCCTCAGGGCTGCGACCTCATCGTCCCTGCCCGACAGGTGCGCCTCCTGCCTGTGCTGTGTGCCTGGTTGGGGCGCTGATGGGGGGCCCAGCCCGGCCCGGGGTCACTGTGGCCCCCTGGAGCCCTCCACGGCAGCTCTGGCTGGAGGAAGGCACTCGGGGTTGGGGCTGGGACGGCACCGGGGTGGCCAGGACCCAGGGCAGCTCTGCCCCGGGAAGGCGGGACCTGAGGCTGTGGCGGGGCGGTGGGGGCAGGTCTCGTGGTCCCAGCTGGTGAGCACCATGCCCACTCTCTCCCAGGTGAACGAGTCCTGGACCCTGTCGGACTGCACGGTGGCTCTGTGTGAGGGCCACAACCGGGTGGTCCTGCTGGGGCGGAAGCCGGTGGCCAGCATCCGCTGCGTGAACGGACACCCTCCGGTCAGAGTGTCGCAGGAGAGCGAGCCGTGTGACTTCCACTTTGAGTGCGAGTGTAAGCGGGGGCGGGGTGAGGGGCGGTCACTCCGGGCAGAGGGCATCGGGGGGCACGCAGGGAGCCAGGGCCGCAGCACACAGTGCCGGCCAGAGAGGGTGACTCGCCGCCAGAGCAGGGGGAAGGCCCAGGTTTGCTGAGCCCACCCGCACGGCAGCCTCTGTGGCTGGAAGGGGGCCCAGGGTCAGGGGGCTGTTATCCCAGGGATTCCTGAGCGTCCCTCCTGGAGCTTCCTGTGGGGAGCGCTTCTGGCTTGGCCCCTGGATGGTGTGGGCGTCAGGTTCTGGGGGGAAGCGAGTGCCACACACGGGGGTCAAAACATCAGCAATGACCAATTCTCTCTCTCCGGAGGCTGCAGGGAGGGCCCTTCCTGCCTTCTCAGCTTTGGGGGCTCCAGGCGTCCAGGACTTGTGGCTGCGAGCCTCCAGCCACGGCCTCGTCTTCCCATGGCCGCTCCTCTCTCTCCTGCAAGGACACTTGTCACTGGGTTAGGGCCACCTGGGTGATCCCGGCTGGTGTCATCTCGGGGTCCTTAACTTAATCACAGACACGAAGATCTTTTCCCAGATGAGGGCACATTCTCAGGGTCTGGGTTGGACATGGGGACACGCCTTCGGGGCCACCATGCAACCCACTCCACCCCCTTTTATAAAAAAGGCAGCCAGGGCCAACTGGGGCCCAGGGGGGCTCCCCTGAGGTGGCCCTTTTGGGGTGGCACTGGGTGAGGGGACCGTCCATGCCCCGCAGGCTCCTGCAGCGGCTGGGGGGACTCGCACTACACCACTTTCGACGGCACTTCCTACTCCTTTCGGGACAACTGCACCCACGTGCTCATGAAGGAGATCCGCCCACGCTACGGGAACCTCAGCATCTACATGAACAACTACTACTGCGGGCCCACCAGGGCCACCACGGCCGCCGCCCACTGTCCCCGTGCCCTCAGCATCCACTACAAGTCCATGGAGGTCATCCTTACCACCAGCACCAGCATCCACGGGCAGGAGCAGAGCCTGGTGAGTGGCCCTGTCCCGGCGTCACCAGGGAAGGGCTGCGGGCCCGGAGGTCAGCTCCCAGAGGCACCTGGGGCAGGGACCTGAGCATGGCCGACTGGGGCCCCAGGCCCCAAGGGGAGCATCTGCACTTCGGGGTGTGAGGCCGAGCCCCGAAGGCAGGCCCTGCTGCCCCAACACCCAGTCATGGATCCCCCCGACACATCTCCAGATCCTGTTCGACCAAATCCAAGTGAGCTCGGGCTTCAGCAAGAATGGCGTGAGTGTGTCGGTGACGGGGACGACCACGATGGGCATCGACATCCCTGCCATTGGTGTGAACATCACCTTCAACGGGCACCTCTTCCACATCCAGCTGTCCTACAGCCGCTTCAGCCACAACACCGAGGGCCAGTGTGGTGCGTGGGGGCCAGGGGCGCCCCGGCCACAGCCGCTCAGCACGGGTGGGGAGGGGGGGTGGAGAGCTTGACCCTGCTGCCCCGCCTCCCAGGCACCTGCACCAACAGCCAGACGGACGACTGCCGCCAGCCCGGCGGAACCATGGCCCCCACCTGCCAAGACATGGCCCACCGCTGGCTGGTTCCCGAGAGGGGCCGGGAGGCCTGCTGGGCGCCTACCAGCCCGCCCCCGACGGCTGGCCCCGCGCCCTCAGCACCCAGCACGCCCGCCTCCTCCCCGTGCCCCCCGGCGCCCCTCTGCGAACTGCTGCGGAGCCCGTGAGTCGCTCCTGTGGGTCTGGCGGTCGTGGGGCGGCAGGCTGCCCCCTGCCCCGGCCTCTGACCGCCCCTTCCCGCAGGCTCTTCGCAGAGTGCCACACCCTCATCCCACCCGACCCGTTCGTCAGCTCCTGCGTCAGTGACGGCTGCCAGGCGGACAGCCCCAGGGCGCCCTGCGGGAGCCTGGAGGCCTATGCGGCCCTCTGCCGCGCCCGGGGCGCCTGCAGCAACTGGCGGAATGCCACCAGCGGGCTGTGCGGTGAGTCAGGGCGGCCCCGGGCGCTCCGGCCCCCTCGGCCCACCTGACTCCTGTCTCTGTGACCCCAGACTTCACCTGCCCGCCCGACAAGGTGTACCAGCCCTGCGGCCCCGCACAGCCCGCATCCTGCGACTCCAGGTAAAGCCTGCCTGAAGAGTGCGCGGCGGGCCGGGAGGGTCTGCAACGCGCCCCCAGCCTCAGGTCCCTGGGGCTTCCTTCCCCGCAGCCCGACCTCTGAACCCCGACTCCGGGCCCTGGGCGGCTGGTCAACCCAGCACTCTGCCATGCCCTCTGCCCTTCCCCCCACCCCGGACTGCCGCTTCCATGGTTCAAGGGTCCCAGGAATGGCCTCCTTGCCTTGCAGGAGCCAGAGCGGAGCGGGCAGGGGGCTGGCAGAAGGCTGCTTCTGCCCCGACGGACACACCCTCTTCAACACACACACGAACGTCTGCGTGCGCGAGTGCGGTGAGCACGGCCCCAGTGGCCCTGACCCCGGAGCTGCTGCAGAGCCGGAGGCCGAGGGCCTGGGGTGGGAAGACCCCAGCGGGGGACCATCCCTCCCGGGTGCTTGCTCTCCTAGCCCAGTGCCCACCCTGAGGGTGCAGTGTGGCCATGACACCGAGTTCTCCGGGGCTTCTGTCCCCAGCAGGAAGAAGAGCCCTGGCTGGGGGTGGGGCGGCCAGGCCTGCAAGGACACGTGTCAGGGCCTGTGATCTCTGCCCACTGGGTCTGGGACCCCGGCACGCCAACTGAACCCCTTTTCTTCTTCCCTTCCAGCCTGTGTGGGACCAGATGGGTTTCCCAAATCTGTGAGTGTTCTGCTCCTCAGCTACCTGCCCCCTGGCTTGAGCAGAGGGAGGGAGGGCCCCATCTCAGGGCAGCCTGCTCTGCCCGGGCAGCCCCTGTGGGGGCTGGTGTGGGGCACCCCGGTGTGAGACACAGCGCTTTCCCGTGGGCTGCTGCAGGATGGCAGCTTGAGCGGGAGGCCGAGGGCTGAGCTGGCCACACTGAGGCTGGGGCCTTCCCTGCTGCTGGAGGCAGCCCAAGAGGCCAGGGCCCGGTCCAGGAGTCTCCAGGGACCCTCACTGCTCTGTTCCAGCCTGGGGAGCGGTGGGTCAGCAACTGCCAGGACTGCGAGTGCCACGAGGGCTCCATGTCAGTGCGGTGCACCCCCGTGCTGTGTGAGGCCCCGGAGCAGCCCCCACAGTGCAGCCAGGCGGGCTTTGTGGCCGAGACCAGGCCTCTGGCCAGCAACTCATGCTGTCCGGGGACGCTGTGCGGTGAGCCCTGTGCCCCACTGGCCGGAGGGTGACGGGGGGGCGGGGGTAGTTGCGGGCCGAGGAGTGGCCGAGGCTGGACCCGTGTGGCGGGAGAATGAGGCCGCCGACCTCTGGTGTGCCCTGGTACAGCGAGGGGCCCCCTGACGGCGCCCCAACTCTCCCACAGTCTGCAACACGACCACCTGCCCCCAGAGCCCACCCAAATGTGGGCCGGGAGAGGAGCTGATCCGCACCCAGGAGGAGGGTGGTTGCTGCCCCACCTTCATCTGCCGTGAGTGGGGCTGGAGGCTCGGGGGTGGGGGAGTGTCGGAGCCCTTCCTGCCCACCAGCCGGGCAGGTGCTCAGCCCCCCTTTCCTTCCAGGACCTCAGCTGTGTTACCACAACCACACTGCCTACGGGGTAAGGGCTCACCGCCGGGCGGCTGAGTGGGATGAGTAGCAGCGGGTGGGGCCCCAGGCTCAGCTCATCCACATGGGACCTCCACCCCTCATCTGCACATGCCCGGCCCCGCCTGCACCCTCCTGCAGGACAGGGGATAAGCGTGGGGGCTCCGGGCCCTTTAGAGCCACGTGGGGACACAGCGAGGGGGACACGGGGCAGCCCTGTCTGTCAAGCACCTGGGGGAGCTGCTGGCTTGGGGTGTCCCAGGAGCGTCCTCATGGCAAGAGTGTTGGGGTGGGACCGTGCCCTCCCAGCCCCTCCAGCCGGCCTGGGGTCCTGCCTCTGCCCTGGTCTGTGCTCAGCCAGGGGCACAAGCATAATTCCATTTGAAGAAGAAAGAACCCGCTCTCTGTAGGCCTCCCCTTCTCCCAGCCCATCCAGCCGCAGGGAGGGGTCCTGGCCCTGGGGCCCCCGCCACTGTCCTCAATGTCACCTCCACTCACCCGGTCCACTGCAGATCGGTGCAACCTTCCCATCCATCACTCCCTGCCACACGTGCACCTGCCTGTCCGGGGACACCCAGGGCCCAATCGTGCAGTGTGAGGAGGACATCTGTAACACTACCTGCCGCCAGGTAAGCCCTCCTGGGCACACCCAGCCCTGGGCAGGGACATGGCTTCACAGGGACCGGGGTTGCCAAGGAGGTCGCTGGGCCCTTAGGGTGTGGACGGGAGGGCAGGAGGGCTGGGGAGTAGGACTGGGGTTACCCATGGAACCACCCCTGTCCCTCAGGGCTACGAGTACTGGAAGGTGGCCGGACAATGCTGTGGGGAGTGCGTGCAGACAGCCTGTCCCACGGAGGATGGCTGGCTGGTCCAGGTAAGAGGGGGTTCGGTCTCAGCCCCCCAGCTGGGAGACCCTTCCTTTCGGCCCCTCTCAGCTCACCAGATAATTCCCTGCGAGCCTCCACCTTCCCCGTTGCATTTCAGCCCAACGAGACCTGGGTCAACAGCCTCGTGGACAACTGCACGGAGTACCGCTGCGAGGTCAAGAACGGGCTCCACGTGCTCACTCCGAGGCCCATGCCCTGCCCGGAGGTGTCCAGCTGCCAGGTGTGTCCTGGGGCTTGGGCTGCCCCAAGGCAGAGGCCCGGCCCAACACACCCCAGATTCTCGGCCTGGACCCCCACCGCCTCGGAGGCCCCGCCCACATCTCCAACGGGAGGCCCCAACCCCCAGATCATCCGCCCGCCCCCCACCGCCCC